GCAAGGGAAAAAAGAGCACACGCATTTTATTTGTTTTTGTTGTTCCTGAGCTCATTGTCGTCTTCTTGATGGAGCCTTTTCAAACGTTGGTTTATATTTTCCTCTATTTTTAACATTTACAACTAAATATCTTGTAGCTGCTATCTATATCCTACTGTTTCTTTTCATCCTATTTCTAGTCTGTTATTAAGCCTTCAAAGCTGTGGTATATTCATAAATTGTTTTCTTTGACATCAGACAGTTCTGGAGCTAATAAAACGGCTTTCTTTTACTAATGACTTGTTATTAGAATGAATGAGATGACTTACTATGAATGGCCTTTATGTCTAAAACTGATATTAATACGACAAACTGTGGGGAATTATCAACGATCCTGATGTTGTTATCCCAATATTATTTTGCATTGTAAAGAATGTTACTTCGAATCATTTTGCAGATGATTATGACCGATCAATCAATGAGGCTATCAAGACAACCAAGTACGGATTTAATATCTGATTATCTTTCTCCTTTACTTTGGGAGCATCATCTTTCTCAAGGCTATATAATATCTTTATCTTGCATTACCTTATCGCTGTTCTTATGTCAGGCGTAAGCAGTCATCTCCAGAACCAAATCATAGAAGAGAAGCTACTGTAAAGCTCGAACCTTCTGTGAACGGAAAATGGAGCGGTCCATCATATGCATCTCAAAATTCCAATTTTAGTCCACTGTCTCCCAAGTCACCTGATTATGATGATGATGCCGAAGAAGACCACATGTCCGATCCACAGTTGGATCGCAGGTATAGAAAATGCAAGCTTTATGTTTCTATTGCCCTAAAGTATTTCCATGTCCTTATTTCTTGACCTAACATTTAGCAACAGACGAAGACAAAGGCCGCAACGGTATTCAGAAAAGGATTATGTGGAAGCATTATCAGATAATGATGCAGACTTTGATAGTGATGATGACATAGTTGGTGAAGCAGTGTATGATGAGGAGTATCTAAGAAAACGTAAGCAGAGGAGGAAAACATCCAGTAGCTCTGAAGGAGATGAGGAGTATCACTATGAGGAAGAAAATGATGAAGAGGAGGAAGAAGAAGAAGAGTCCTTGAGTATCAGTGAAGATAGCGACCAGCCAAGAAAAGTAAGAAAAATGCCAGGACGTACGAGGAGGGAAACAAAGTTAAGGTCTGTTGGTGAGATTCAGTCAGGTCTGAGACGTAGTAAAAGGGCGACTCGAAGCAGAATAAATTATGGACAGTATGATCTGTCAGAATCTGAACCAGAGAATAAAAAAGTTAAAAAGACTAATGCATCTGATGAGCACACAGATGCTAGTGAGAATGGGGATTATTTGGTTGAAAGTCAAGGGTCTGAGAATGAGAATGATGATGACGAAGAAGAAGACGAGGACCACGAGATGAAAGTTGATCAGCCTGATGAGGTTTATGCAGAGAATATAGAGGAGCAAAACCATCCTCCTGAGAAATCGAATAGCCCAGACCAAGACGAAACCGATGGTGCAAGAGAGAGACGGTTTCTTGACCTAAACGAGCTTGCTCCCGGCTCTGGTTTTGACGATGCCCCAAGCACAGAAATGAAAGATGATACAGACGATTTCTAGTATCCTTCATTTACTTGCTTGATAGCAATCGCTATAGTTTTCTCTCGTCAAGCCGAATCCAAGTGTACGATAGTAAACTATAAATTTTGTGGTAAGCCTGCAGAAGATATTAGCACCGGAGTTCTTCCCCAGGCTAATTCAAGCAGTCGCCTTGGTGCAGTATCTGCAGCAAGGAGCAAAAGGATTATGATGAGTTGATAGAGTAGGGAGTCCATTTTTTAGTAATGTCCACATTCAATGAAAACCCAACAATAGAGATGGAAGGGGAATTTGTTTGGTGTTTCTATAGCTTTACCCATCAGTGTACAATAACCTTTTGACTAATATTGTAACCGAAAGAGTTGGCTTTTAGATGTATAAGCTTTTATCTACTGTGATACTGACTTTGAATCGCCCCTCTACATAATGGGTTGGATGGGTCTGTTTTAATTACTTGCAGATATTGGTCTCTATTGTAATGCAACCATCCTCCCTCAAATGATTAGCTAATTTTTAGCATTTGTGCATTTGTCTTTCTGATGTTGTGTAAGATGCCATCCTTGTATTTTGTTTGTTGTACAGATTTTTAATCTTTATATGTTCTGAAGTTATCTAAATTGATCTTCTGTCTAAACTACTTGATTTGTTGATAGAAGGCACGTTGGTTGAGGAAGGAGAGGAAATATTTTGAATGAGAGATCGGAGTAAATGAACTGATCAATGATGATTGATAAAATCATTTCAATAGTACGAGAACTAATACACGGAGAACTAATACACGGAGTCACTTGAACCGTGTCGATAAGCTCTAAGAAACAGTAGAGTTGTAATGATATGCCTTTTTGTTGTGATGTCTAGCTGAGGTTGAGAACCAGATGGAAAACTTGAAAAGGTATGGAGCCAACATATCAAGAGCACTCAAATAACGTATCGAGAGCACTAAAAGATGAAACTCAGCAGCCTTTATAGGAGGTTTAGACTTCTTGCATTAATCCTGGGATTTTCTCAGGAGTTCCTTTTTCTCTCTTTCCACGGTTAAGAGTTGACAACAAATTTGAAATCTAAAGGCGTCCCCATGGCATAAACATCTGCTATAAAGGTTTCTATTTCTCTTCAAAAATGAAAATTCACGAGTTTGGTTGGATTCAGTTGACTGAAGCTTGGTGAAAGATAGAATCAAAGAGGACTGTTTGTAGGCATCAATGTGAGAATTATCTCACAAGCCACGTGCTTTATGACTGCTTTTGGCTCAAGACAGAGAGCCAAAACCAACAGCTCTTGGGGTTGTTTTTCTGGTATTGGAGACTTATTAGCTTCCCCAACTACTTTTTGTTCACATATTTCCTCTATTTTCCTCTGTCATTTCTTTTCTAAACCAGAAAGTGCATGTTAAGTATGAGCAACAGCTTTAGTACAGTCCATCTGTAGGAGCAAGCATTAAAGTGTGATGAAGATGAACGGATTCTTAAGAAAAATCTTGTATCAAATTTTCAAGTCTCACAAATCGATTCCATTTTACAGGATCAGTTCATCAGCCTGCAGTTTCACATTGGGATTTAGTTTTAATTCTTGAACTGCATGCTTCTATGGTTGCAATCTTGAGTGGCTTTCAGGTTTTAAACTTCTTCAATGAGTTGAGCTTTGTGCTTAAAATAATCACTCTGTCTACCTTGTGATCATCAAAAAAGAACTAAGGAGAAGTTCATTTCCTTTGACATGACTAACTTTTTAAATATGAGCAATTAAAAGAATGCTTAACCAAATAACTCACCGGATTCGAACCTGACCGAAATGTTCTTGAAGCCGAGCATGTGAATATGGTGGAGAGCCAGGAAGAGAAAAAGAGAGATCGTTATTTCTAATTTCTTCTTATACTGTATTGTTGATGCAGATGCGGCACCCATCATGCTGATCTAGTTTATTAATGGGAGCAGGTCCATGCTTTTCTTGCCTCCACACTTATCATACCTCTTAAACAATATCATTTCTTCCTCCAATTCCCTTTAAGGACCATTTTCAAAAGAAAATTTTCGAGTCAAAAGGACTCAGTTGCTTTGATTTCATCTCCTCATTCACTACATAAATTTTCTTCTCTTTACATTTTTCGAAGTGATTCCAAATGAACTGATAAACATGGTGAGAGTTCCTTCCTGTGACAAGTTAAACCTCAAAAGGGGTCTCTGGACTGCAGAAGAAGACGCAAAAATACTCGCATACGTCTCGAAGCATGGGACCAGCAACTGGACCTCTGCTCCAAAGAAAGCAGGTTAAAAAACTTGAAACTTCTGATGATTTGGTTGATTCATATATTTATAAAGTTCCATTTGGAGTTTTGCATTGATGCTTATGAATCCACTCTCCTGTGAATTTGGATGCTGTGTTTGAGTTCTTTCACAGGACTAAGGAGATGTGGGAAGAGCTGCAGACTTAGATGGACCAATTACCTGAGGCCTGATCTTAAGCATCATAACTTCACACCCCAAGAAGAAGAGTTGATTGTCAGGCTTCACGCTGCAATTGGTAGCAGGTAAATTGGTCTGCAGCCTGTAAAATATGCAACTTCCCCTTGGTTTCTCAACGTATCATTAAGTTGTGTTTCCGGTTTCGTTTGAACGCTTCCAAATGTTTCATGATCATCGGTTTTCACTGATACAGGACTAATGACTGATCTCGCCGGTCTGTGTTTCTCGTGTGTGAGTGCAGATGGTCTATAATAGCTCAGCAACTTCCTGGAAGGACAGATAACGATGTGAAGAACTACTGGAACACGAAACTGCGAAAGAAGCTCTCTGAAATGGGAATCGATCCGGTTACTCACAAGCCATTCTCTCAAATCTTAGCTGATTATGGGAACATTGGTGGCCTCCCAAGATCCACCAAGAGAATTGGGTCTCTCAGTAGAGACTTGAAAACTGCAGCCTTTATGAAACCAGAACAACATCCAAATTCAGCACAGCAGCTCTTCAAAGGCATCAACGCCGCTTTTTCGCCACCGGCAATGCTTTTGCCCGAAACCGAGCCTGTCCTTGACAAGTTCATGAATGGCAATGTCCACCAGTTAAATAACAACCATTCTTTGGATCTTCTTGCTCAGCTGCAAGCAATGCAGCTGGTGACAGAAGCCTCACATTGCACTTACAATGAACCAATTCAACCCCATTTCTATGCTCAAGGTTCTTTGCCACCATCTTCATCATCTTCTTCTACTAGTTCTAGAACATCTTCCTCGGCCTTCAGTTGGCAGGATTTTCTTCTCGAAGACGCATTTTTAACTTCCGAGCCTCGAGAACTCGAAAACATAGTTGAGTTTCCACTCAATCAAAACGGTTACCAAACAGAAAATGAGATACCAAAGGGAGAGGTGAACAGAGAGGTTTCTGCATACCAATACAACAGACTCGAAGCAATGGATTGTTTGGCTGAAAATATTGAGATTGAAGCTCCATCTTCTGGTGAAAGCACATTCATAGAAACTTTGTTACATCAAGATGACAAGATCTTCTTTGACTTCCTCAATCTTTTGGAGGAACCACTTTACTAGTAATTGTCAATTTTTCTTTTCTTTTTTTTTTCTTTTTCCTTCCTGTGATGATGTTGGTAATAATCAGTGATTCAAAAATGGACCTACTGCCATTTGTTTTTAGATTTTTTGAAATTTTTGTACGAATGTTCTATGTAAATAAATATATTTATTAATAGTTAATTTAAAATTATAATTAAGCTATAATATAATCTAGATTATAATTAATTAAGTCAAATTTTTAAAAGAAGTTCAGAAAAGTGTAAACACCGTATATGTAATGAACATGAAAAGACTAAACTTAGCAACGTTAAAAATTAAAAAAAATAAAAATAAAAATAAAAGAAATCAAGAGATTCATACACAATGCAAACAATTTTGATAGAAGCTCAATGAGATGGAAATAGATAAAAGTTTGGTGGTGAATGGGAAAATGCATTGAGTTAATGCGTTTGGTGAAGATAACGAATAGAGTGATATTTAGTCTTTAGTGGTCAAAGTGTTTGCAAAATTGTGGCAATAGCACTGCATCAATTTCTTGGCTTTATTTTTCCATCTTTACTTCCCTCATTTTTCAAATGGTTACCATTGCTTCCTATTTTCAAATAGATTTAACCTCCAACCCCAATGAATAATAATAATAAAATAAAATAAGTGTCAATTACTACTGAGTTAGGTTAATTACTTAACACTGACGAAGATTACAATATTATTTACTCATGCATAAATTTTAAATGACTTATCCCTTCTGAGATGTGAGTCACTAGCAAAATAGAGAGATCAATAATACCTAAGTTAGTAGTAGAACTCGAAAGTTATTATAGATATTCAGAAGGAATTAAAATATACCAAAGTGTAGTAGTCATTTGTCCTTTTATAGACTATACCTGCAGACGGAACATGGTAAGTGGCTCTTGGATTCTTGCTTTATGTCATGGAATGACCAACCTGATGGTGGTGTTGATTGCGTTCAATCAATCTCGTCGTTAAGGTGCGTAGATGGTGGGAGTGCCTGAATTTTTCATTTAGGCTTGACGATCTGGTCCATTTCAGAAATGTTTGCCACATGGCAAGTTGGTTTTACCCCGCACGACATTGTTAAATATCAAAGAAGTTTTGGTAGTAAAAATATGTAGCAAATTTTTGTATGAAGTTCAAAAAAAAAAAAAAAAAGTTTATATGAATTTAGGAATAGGAAGTAGCAGTGTAAATTATAAACCCAAACGATAATAACGATCCTAAAAATCCAATGAAGAAATTGTGGGTCGCTGCCGCAGGGAGTCACTTTTCAGAAATCCATAGGGATTCCCTTATTTATGACTTTTGGTTACTGATAAAATTGTAGACTTATGAAATCGGAGGGAGGTCGTAAACGGGATCCGAGCATCAGAGCTCGAGAAGAATCCATGGTGGCCATATCCCTTTACAGAGGGAACCTCCACCGGGTCCCGGATGTTCCTCGTCGATGGCTTATGCCAACCCACAACATCTCTATCAGAGACTTCAAATCCCTTTTGCAGCGTCGTTCCAAAGCCCTCTCTCGCATCCTCGCGCCCTCCTCTCCTGCTCCCGCTAAAGTCTCCACCTCCACTAACCCTAATCGTAATTCGAATTCTGTTGTTAAACCAGACAGTGAAGGACCCAGAAGTAATGGGTCTGCGCCTGAGGCTCCGCTGGAAATTGAAAGAGTCGGTGTTGGTGGTGAAAGATCTTCTGGGGATTCAAAGGAGAGAAAGAAGTCGGACATTGGTGATGATTGTACGGGAAAATCGGCTGATGGGTTTCATTCTGTGAATGGCTCGAGGCCTTGTTTTACTGAGAAAGGTTTTGATCCAGTGGAGAATGGTGGGACGCATGCAAAAGATGAAAATCCTGCTGTATTAGAAAACCCTAATAAGGAGGTATGGGTTATGACAAGCTCTATCGATTTTCAATTTGTCTGTTGTCTGTTCATATCGTATATGTTTCGGGTTTTGAAGTCTCGTTGGTCTTACCCGGTTTCGAATTTTAATGAAGTTGTAATAGAGTTTGGTTTGCTCTTCCTGAATTTTGGTGCGGTTGTGTTATGCTTGACAAAATGTTCAATTGGAGAGTTAGTTTTGTTACAACTACAAGTGTCAATTGGTTTCAGAATTGTATGAGGATGGAAAATAGAGTTGCTATTTCACGAGGCTTTTTGATATTTGGGGCTGTTTGACATCTACTGCAAATTATATGCAAATGTTGTACATTTTGTTGAGTTTCTTGTAGTTAGAAGAAAGAAAAGATTAATGAAAGTAAAATAAAGAATGTTGCATATTGAAAATGGGTTCCTGTTTTCTTTAACTGAGGCATTGAAGGAAGACCTTTGAAGCTTGTTTGTAGTCAATATAGGGATCGAATGCCTGAATGCCAACCTTGAATTTTCTTTTTCTTCAGCATTTCTGTATTCAATAATATTTTTAATACATTTTTCTCCATTTATTGCTTTTTACCTTCTCCATTTATGTGTGTTACTGTGCTAGGCAAACAAGGAGGAGGATTTGTTGGATGGCAAGGAGAATAGGAAAAAGGAAGTTGAGGAGAAGTTAAAAGTTTTGAATGAAAAAAAACATAATCTTGTGCAAGTGCTAAAACAGGTATATTCCTGATTCTTCCACTTTGTCCCCTTCCCTACCCTGACCTCTGGCACTAAATCCCCATAACTTCCTATCGGATTGAGAAGTGAACTAGGCCATTTTCTCTGTGGTGGTTGACAGATTTTGCATGTAGAAGAGGAGTTAGAAAGGCGAAGTAGTGTGCTAGGGACAGCAATTCGCCCTTCTGCTCCCCTTCAAGTTGACGCCTCAGCTGATACTGGGTCAATGACCAGGCAACTTGCTCCTAGGATTGGCTCGGAAGTGAATGCTAGTGGAGATACTGAAGGTGGAGAGGCTGATGATCTGTTGAACCATAATGTTCATTCTCGCCAGATGCTTCGGACTAGCAGTATGTCACCATCCTCAGAGTCTCCTCTTAGAAGGCCTTCCCACGTCCAACCCAATGTGGTAATATTTCTCACTCTAACTTACAGGAATTTGATTACCGCTTCCATGACATGTTATGCTATTAATATGGGATTAGTCTAGTTTAGGGTAACAGTGTACTGATGAAAACAACTTCCATGACATATTACACTGTTAATAAGTAGCTGTAGCATAATCTGGAATGAAGGAAAAAAAAATATAAACATAAATTCAACATATTTTATTAGAAATGTGATGAGTGAGACATAAATAATATTTAATGGTGCTTTAGAATTCATTATGAGAATTCTTTGTGAATTATGTCTGGAAGCAGTCTGGATGTCTCCTAAGGAACTGTATCGGAAAATTTTGGCTTATATTATCTCCTTTTCTTTGTGCCTTGTGTTAAAATCCAATGCACATCAGTTTTTACAATTCTACTAGTGAAGTGGGACACAAATAACATTATATATGTAGGGTTCACACCCATCTCGAGCAAATTTTGGCATTACCGGGAGTCCATCATGCCTTCCTCCGACCGGGCAATCTGGGCATCCTCCAACTGTGCCCACGGTATCTGTATCTGGAACCAACTACATTGCATCCTCACCTTCTCCTGCAGCATCTGGGGGCACTTCGGTTCTCAGAGATGCTCGGCAACCTAGCCCATGGAATTAGAGGTCATCCCTGAAATTAGCATTGACTAGATCCTTTTGATTCTCGACTTCCTGGTTCAGCGGAGCAAAGTGAGGTCTAAGACTAGTTTCATGATGTATAGCTATACTCCTGTGAAAATTAGGTTCGATGATGCACCCAGCAGCATATTGGCGTTTGGGATAACTCTTAACATCATCCTACCAATGCTTCTTTTTTTCTTTTGTTCAGTGTAGCACTAGTGTAAAACTGGAAATATGATATAAGAGTTGACGTTGTATACATGAGGAATTTCAATGGGATTGAATGTCCTTAGTCTGAACCATACTTTGTTGACTTCATGTTACAGTTTAGATTGAAGCTTAGCCATTTCTTTAAGATTTTTCATACATGCTTTGCCATTTCTTGGTAATTTCTTACATGATATTCGATCACGATATGTTGCTAACTATTAGTGGAATTGCATTTCAGGCAAATGGTTTCTGGTTTCTCTGTGAACAGTAGGTTCGATTTTGAAATTGTCTAAAAGCAGTTAGAAATTTGTAAATTGTGGATTGATCTTACTCGTCCTACTCGTAGGCACCATTCTAAATCGGCGACTTCCCTTCATTAACCCTTAATATGATAACTCATATGAGATAATTATGAAATTCTTCTTTACACGAGAAAAAAAAAAGGAGGATACTTATGAATTTTCTGATCAATGGTTTTAGCTACCTAGCAAATTTTATAGCGACTTCCAAATGAATAACTTGTCTTCTTTATGTTGTGAAAATGAGTTAATAACGAATTTCTAGCTTATCTCCATTTATTTCATGGCTTTGAGATGAATTTTAGCCAATATATACAAAACACACATGTAATTATTATTGATGATAAAAATATCCCATGAGCTATGGAATTTTATTATCCTTCTATTCCTTTTAATCACATGTGTGACCAAAATCTATAAAACAAACCCATTTAACTTCAAACTGAGTTGAAAAGACTGTTAATTGTTGGGAGGCGAGTCGCGAGCCACCCTTGTCAACAGGAAGGAGTAGTTCACCTATTTGGAAAACAGTTATACATTTGACGAGATGGGTAACTACCCTTCATCCTCTATAAATACACATTCATTCACTCAATCAAGTATGCCTAACTCGAACTTAAAACTAATATGAGCGTCGGAGTATTCTACTCATTTTTCAGACCGCAATAACTTGCCAGAATTCAATTCACGTCGGTCCTCGACATCATCCTCATCCATTCATCTTATTCGGTGAAGTTTTAAGTTAGATTTTGATGGGTACAATAGAATTTGAAAATTTTTGAAAATGTGGAATTCCAAAGGACCAACAACTTCCTTAGACTAGACTAGACACCTCTGACCATAGTAAACTTAAGAAACCAAAAATATAATTACAAATTCAACCACAAGAGTAAATGAGTAAAGTAATAAATTCTGAGTGGTCAGGATGAATACAGGCCTCTTTGTCTGCAGAAGCAGCAGCTTTAGCCAAAGATTGACCACCAACAGTTCCCCAGATCTCCTCTCCTCATCTCCCCCACACCACACTTCCCATCCAATTCCATGGCTTCTCATCAAAAAACTCCACACCACCACCACCACCACCACTTCTCACTATCAGGCCCCGCCGCCGCCGCCGCCGCCGCCGCCGCTCCTCACCCAAAACTGGATCACCCTCTCCCCAACACAGCCCTACACAACTTGAACTTGTCAAAAGTTGATTCTCAGCCCCAAATGGTCGGCCCCAGAACCGTGCAGAAAGTCCGCGTACACCCCCATGAGAGATTCAATGATTCCGATGAAAATTTCGAACGCATGATCAACTGTATCACCGCCAAAGAAAGGCAAATGAAACAGCTCCTGCAGGAACACCAACATCTCACCCGCCGCCTCTCCATTTCCCTGTCTTCATCGCGCAGCGGCACAAGAAGATCCATCGGAGGCTCGCCGATTCTTCAGCTTGCGGACGTGTTCGCCAACAATGGGGTCAGATTGGTTTCCGCCGATATGCCGCCGTTTATGCAGATCCACGCCGTCGATTGCGCCAAAAGGGTCCACGACAGTATGGAGAAGTTCACTTCCAAATCCCTCGCCTTAACTCTCAAGAAGGTACAATACAAATCCCTAGTTTTTGTTTTTGAATTGGATGGAGGGTTGTTTTTACTTAGATTTGTTCAGCTGATTTGGGCAGGAATTCGATGGGGTTTACGGGCCGGCGTGGCACTGTATTGTGGGGAAGAGTTTTGGGTCATTTGTGACGCATTCAGTGGGTGGATTTCTGTATTTTTCCATGGCTCAAAAGCTTTACATTCTGCTCTTCAAAACCACTGTTCAAAGGGCCAATTAGAAACATTGATTATGTTTAAGCAGAGCAGAAGCACTCTGCTTTTTGTTTCTTCCTCTATCTTTCTCTAACCTCCATCTTCTTTTTCTTTTGTCTGCTTAAAATTCCGCCATTGATGTTCATATTTCGAGTTCGAAGCTTGTTTGGCGATGGTTGCTTAAAAACCTACCTGCACATTTGATTTGATGAGAAGAGAAAAGCTATGGGTGAAACAGAGGATGGAAGGGCATGGCCATGGCTGAGCTGAAGCAGATGAGATTCATGTTCACTTTCATTTTCAGACGAAAATGATTGCATAGGGGAAGGCCCACCTCATTAATATTGGGGTTTTGGATTTATATTCTCTTATTCAGAATTAGGACACAAGGGTGTGCAGCAGATGATAAGACTTTTTTTTTCTTTTTTTGGAATTGCTTTTGTTTTCTTCTCAAAAACATGTTTTTTTTATGCTTGTTAAGAAAAAATGTAATCTGTTTTCAAAATTGGTTATTTGGGAGCTCATTTGAAAATAGCTTCTTTTCTTTTTATAATACAAATTTATAATAGATTCAAACTTTAATTTGTATTTAATAATTTTTTTTATTTTAATGTGCATGCCTCTTGAGCTTGTTTTTTTTTATATCTTTTTAGTTCACGAGTATCCAATATTCAACTTTTTTAGATATAGATTCAAATAGACATCATTTTAAAAGTTTATAACTAGAATTAGACATTTTTGTTTTAGAACATGGTCTAAGGAGACACTACTAAAAGATCTTATAGATTATAATTTAACTATTATATAACCATTTTTTTTCCTAAAAGAAGAAGAGTGATTGTAATTGGTAAATAATATGTTTGAAAGAAGATTCCAAAGCAACAGTCAATGATACTGAAAATTGAAAAGGAAGAGAGCACCCTACAACCTCTAGGTTGTGGGAATAGTAAGTTTTGAATTTTGATTGTTACTATTCCTAGGGAATAGGTATTGGGACCCGCAAACTTGAATATATATCAATTAATTAAGGTACATATGTGTGATCAAAATATTAGTTAGATAAGAAGTCGACCAAGTCCGCAAACTTCGGATTGGCTAGGACGAGGTGAACAGAGAGCTCCAGATGTCATGCAGAAGACCTGCAAAATAGAATTGGATTAATCGTGTACCTTGAAACGGAGTGGAATGGTTCTATTTACAGGTAAAGTCCCCGACAACATTCCCGACAATGCCTCAATGGCTCTTTAAGATTGTCGTGAAGTACGGCGTGATGTCACGGAGTCTATCGGTGAACAGGCTGAGTCGAAGTGGTCCAAGTAATGCATTTGGTCGGCTCGACCGTTAAATAAGGTCGGCTCGGCATGAGAAAACATGACCGAGGTAAGTACACACTGACGAGGGGTGACACGTGTATCGTTGAACATCCAACCATAACACGTCACGTGTAAGTTGAGCATTCACCTCCAACAAATTCTAATTCTCGTATCGAATTCTCGTAGTAAAAAAAATAATAATAATAAGGCATAGGGTACCCTCCAATTATTCACCCTATCCTAATTCCTATGTTTATGCCCACGGCCCACCCAAGGACCCTGACTCACCCCTTACCTTCCTGCTCCTCACTCCCAAACCTAACCATTTTCAAATTTCTTCCAAGGAATGAAAGACTATGATCAAAAATATTCATTTTCTTCGTTAGAATTTAACGGCGTTTATCTCAAACTTAGGAGTCACTCTCTTTAAAAAGGGTAATTTTATTTCATTCGCATTTCCTGTGGATTGTAGATCTTTTCAATAACTACTTTACCATTTTTATTCTTTCTCTCTTTTGTTAATGAGACCTATAAATTTATAATTACTTATTTTATAATTTTACTCTCTTTATTTATTTATACTATTAACAAATTTTCTTTTAATGAAAAGTTATACAAATTTTATTAGTTAATATAATTTCATTATAAAATATTAGAATTTGTAATAAACAGCATAAAGAAAATAACATTCTGACTCTAAACCTCCGACTTCGAGGAGAAGAGTATATGTCAATTATCGTTTGAGTTATGCTCATGCTGACCTTATTATCCTAATTTACTAGTAAGTAAACGGGGTCTAAAATAGTTTAAACTTCTTCTATGTTTTATTTTTTAAAAATAATTGATTTCATCACTTGTTTAAATTCATGATTTAATTACATGATGTTGAAAGTTTAGATTAAAATTCAGAAATAAAAAATAAAAATAGTTTTCTAAGAAAAAAAAGTAAAATGTCTATATATATATATTGAAGGGTTTTCAAAAAAACACTTCTAAACAGCCTAAATATTGGAATTGGGCTGGACTTCTGGGCCATACAGTTACTACTGAACCCAATTTAAAAGTGAAGGTGGGCCTAACATGGGCTGGGCCTGAAGATACCAAAAAATGGTTGGTGTTTGGAATTTGTTGGGAATATTGTAAGATGAAAATAGAGTGACAAGTAGCAGACAACACAAGTTTGATGGGGAAAGATCACTAATGAATAAAAAGCTTGCGTTTATTTTTATAACATTAAATTGGAAGTTTCCTAATAGAAAACAAGTGCAAAACCAACTTTCTGACTTTGGTCTAAATTTTAAAGTCTATTATTATCTAATTTGGAATGATAATGATTTTGCTTTATTTGGAAACTTTACCTAAAAATGAACTTTTACCATTTTTACTTAAAACCCTTATAAAGCCACTTTCAATATCAACACCTTTCACTTGTATTACTATTTTCACAAGGTTGCCAAATAGTTCGATTTTAAGTTGATTGAGACACTTGCCAATTATTGTGATATATCAAAGACCCCTCTTTATTCCGTTATTCATTGTTATTGTTGACTATGAAGCTATATTTCTTTTAACTATGACTAACGTAAATATAACTCTATTCAATTATCCAAGCCAATAGGTTCATCTCGATACCAGACAATAACTCAGTCTCTTATTAAGGAAGTTCAAGAAATGATTTTAGATTATGCAATTTGAAAATATCTCGTTTATGTCTTTATTTGGATATTCACTTAAAAAGGAGGAAAAAATAATGATATAAGGTTTTAATCTTAATTTATTACTTAAAAGTTAAAATAAGATAGGATTAAGGGAAACCATGGAAACGACAGACTCGCCAATCACACACACCGTGAAACTGACTGTTTCAATTTTCGAGAGTGTATGTAGGAACTTCAGACGATGGATCGGGTGTGAAGATTCAATCAAAGACATCTTGGAGATCGATAACAGCTAAGAATTGTGGCCATCAGTATTCAAGCTTCGTTCTAATTCCTCACTCCTTTGACGAAAGCCATAATTGCTCGAACCCTACATACGTAAATAATTAATAATTTTACTTAAATTACATCCTATGAAATCTTGCAAAATTCGATCGTTTTAGTCATAAAAATTTGACCTACGATTTCAAATCATGATAACAAACAACAGAATTCATTTGAAACCATAAAAACTCGAGCTACCACTCGAGAATCCAGCCTTGGGCTAGAGAAGGGATTTTTTGGTAAAAAGAAAGAAAAAGAAGGGTAAAAGAAGTGAGAATAAACACGTTTTGCAGAAGGAAAAGAAGGGGAAAGAGAGGAATTGGTCACTCTCAAGAGCAAAAAAAGAGAGGGTAATGAAGCTGGAAAAGGGAAGTGGGGTAATAAAGCTTGGTAAGGCATTCTGAAAACACCCTTTCTGGGTATCATTTACTTCTGCTTGGCTCAATATTCATTTATGTGCTAACCAAGTTAGGCCTTTGACAGTGCCCTTAACTTCATTCTCTCTATAATCTAAGTTAGGCCGCGATGGATATTTCTCAGACTTGAAAGCTCTCTCTCAGCGCCTAGATAAGAAGCACGGAATTCATGTCCTCGCAACACTTGACTCAAATAAGGTACATATCACTTATTTTAGTTCAAGACGCAATTTCTTTTTTATGGAGATTTTATAATTTCTCGTCTTGAACATCTTTGACGTCGACCTACTATGTTGTCTTACAACTCTAGATATTCTAAATTGAAAAGATCTTGACCATACACATCCATACAATGAGTGATCACCCGTTCATTTTCCTACTTAGTTTATCTTTATTAGTCTACTCCTATGATTTCTTTTACAAGTATTCCTATGATATTTAAGAAATGTGTTGTTCTCACTAATATTCATTTATCTGATAAGGATTCACTTTAAGTAATTAGGACTTCTAGTTAATGTTTAAATGTAATGATTTGGAAAAAAAAAATGTGAGCTAAATCTTTTTTTTTTCCACGGACTCCAGGTTCACGTGGCGAGACATTTGCGTACCCATGGGACTTCTTTACTTCCTAGATCTTAATCGTCAAGGCTCAATCACGAACACAAACACATTTTAGGCAAAGAGTCAAGAAATTTTGATCCTAACTCACATGCCAATTTTCCGCTGCATCCCACCTCCACAATTAAAAACGACTGTTTGTCTAATGGGAATCTAACCATTTAAATAAATGTATAAATTATATGAATATTCGGACATTTTTAAAACATTATTTAAATTTAGCACATCTCCAATAAAATAAATCCAAATATTTCCGAACATTCTAAAAAAATTTCCTACAAAATAAAAGTGACTTTCTGAGGACGACAGACATAAAATTTCAAACAAACACCTGTAGATATCAACGTCTACCTTTCTAAAAAATAAATAGTCTCTAAAGATTTCTCAATCCTCTAAACTACCCTCTTAAAAAAAGATAATAGGTGCATTATCCATTGTTTGACGAGAAGAAATTCAAACATTCAATTGTAACACTCGGAACTCATGGTATATATTCCAATTAAGATGGTTGTCAGCCGGATCCCAACCTAAAATGGTTGATTATATTTCTGGTTGTAATATTTATTTTATAAAAAATTGTTACAAGAAAAATGTGAAAGTAGTGAGATGAAAGGGTGGTTTGGTTGTCTAATCGTTTTTGGCCTCATAAAGCTTCCATCTTTTCACTCTTCGTTGGGTCAAAAATTACAGGTTATTGATAGAGAGAGCACAGTGTTCTGTTCTCCACTGCTGCTGAAAAGGCTACCCCCTTCCCACCCCCAAACACCTTCATAAATAACCTCTCAGCTACCTAAACCTTCCACTCGAATTTGGTAACTCCGCACCCATAGCTCAAACTCAAGCCTCTCCCTTCTCTCTGGGTTCCCACATTTGTAATCGGATTCTGATCCCTACCCAATTCCTGCTTCTGTGGGACTCCGGTCGCCGGAAATGGATCCTCCACTTGTAAATGAATCGTCCTTCTCCGCTGCGAACCCATCTGCCTACAGCTTGGCCGCGATTTGGCCTTTCGTCGGGGAGCAAGCCGGAAGTGCATTGGGGCTCCGGATGGGTAGTTTGGGTCACAATCTTGGTGGGTTTCTCGAGACTTCCACCAATCGCGACGGGTCAATGGAGGAATCGACGGTGACGGAGCAGAGTGTCGGCGGTGGGAGGAAGAGGAAGGACGTGAGCTCGGAGGACGAGTCTTCCAAAATGGTTTCCACCAGCAGTGCTAATCAATTGGTTGGTTTTAGATTTTTTTTTTTTTCTGTACTTGGTTTTATTCCTCGATCCTTTTGCTCTCAATTTGGCTACGTTGACTCAGTTTTGGTCTATTTCGGATATAAAGAAACAAAAATCACATTGGTCCAATTTGTACAGTGTGAGTTCGGTTTTCACTTTTAAAAGGTGAAATTCTTTCTCTCTTTTTGAATGGGAGGAGGTTCCAAGGAAGAGAAAACAGCTGCGAATCTTGATTACCCATTTTTATCATTGCTCTGTGCAAAGACTAACTACCAAGATAGTCCCCTAATAATAATGTATGCAGGTTTTCAAAACTTGGACGGCTGATCATATGTTTAGATGCTGTCTAACTACATTAAAGCACTTAGTCTTGCATATTTAATGAATTTACCTTATATTGACTTTGCATACCTGGTAAATTGAGGTACTGATCGCCACTTGATGTTGTACTTCTCATTTCGTACAGAGTAACTCAAATGGTAAACGGATGAAAGTATTGGAATCCAGAGATGAAAATGGTGGTTTAAAAGCTGAAGTAGAACCTATCTCGGCGGATAGTAAAAAACCGATCGATCAAAGCCCGAAACCTTCTGAACCACCAAAAGATTACATCCATGTGAGAGCAAGAAGGGGCCAAGCTACTGATAGTCATAGTTTAGCAGAAAGAGTAATGCACTTTTCTCAGTTATTGGAGATTTGAATATCTCAATCATTTATCAGCCACGGTTCTTAGCATTCTGACTAACAGCTTCAAGTTTCTGGTGGAGATTTGGATTGTTCATCTGTCCATTATGCCTTCCTACTTCCTCTTAATTGCTGCCTGTTTGTCTTACTATACCCATTTGTGCAGGCAAGAAGAGAGAAGATCAGTGAGAGGATGAAAATTTTGCAGGACTTGGTTCCAGGTTGTAACAAGGTACTCTTTATCTGTTATTTTTTCTGCAAGCAACTATCAAGAGAAATTGCAAAAACAACCTAAACTAGATAGAGTAGGTGCAATTTAGTTTCGAACTTTTAATTTGATCAATTTTAAAGATGAACAATTATTGGAATTTAGCTCCTGCCATTTCTACTGTTAAACACCCGAAAACTTATTGAAGGAGCTTATGTGACAAAGAGGACTTCTCTTTCTCTCCCCTTCTCTCTCAGTTTGCAGTTCCACAACAGAAAAAAAAAATGATAAATTTAATAGATGTAAGATGTAGAAGTGAGAGAGTGGAGGGATTGATCAATTTTACTCCTAAACATGAAGGATAGTTGTAATATAGCCCCCACCATTATATCCAATAAGCTCTCCTTTAAATCTGTTACATCCTTCATTCTTCCTACGACCCAAACTGTGCAAGAAGAAGAGAGATTTATGGTCTGTATACCCCCCAAACTCATTTTCTCTCTTACTTCCAGTCCTTGACCAAAGCTAAAATTAAATTTAAGGATTTAGATGGAGAAAACAAAGAGAATAGGTCGGGAGTAGCTAATAAAATTAAGAGAAGTAAAAGACGAGAGCAAAGTTCTCTAACTATGAAATTACATTTATCTAACCCCAGGAAGAAGACATACTACATCGCAACAATCATTCATGTTTAAGGATCAAATTGATCAAATAGAAATCTAGAGATTAAATTGTGATTATCCTAATAGTTCAGGGTGGATTTTGCAATTTTCTTCAAGCTATTTGAATTGCGGCTACAAATGATGAGTTTGGATGCAATCATATTGAAAAATCAAGTTCAAATTATAACTTATTTTCATTGATATCTTCCTTGCAAATGTATGCATACTTTCTACCCATTAGGTTATTGGAAAAGCACTTGTCCTCGATGAGATAATAAATTATATCCAATCATTGCAACGGCAGGTCGAGGTACTTACTCTCATTGATGTGTTCTTTTTTCTTTTTCCTTTTCGAACTTTTTCCTTATTTAATTTGAGCTTTGAATATTTTGCTCAAATTTGTAGTTCCTCTCCATGAAGCTTGAAGCTGTGAATTCCAGGATGAACATAAGCTCTGGCATTGAAGGTTTTACTGTAAAAAATGTAAGTCTGATTCTCATTTCCTTTTACGTGTCAAAATTATTTAAGCGGGCATATAAAACCACCCTCAAACCTCTAGATTTCTAAATAACTTAGGAAATAGACATAGTTGAGCCATCTGTCACAGGAATTTGGCTTGCTGTTAGTCTGATATCCTCTACGTTTAAATTTTTTCCACTAAAGGTGTTTTCTTGTCTGCATGACGGCATATGATATATTTAGTTAATTAAGGTATTAGGTGCCCGTTTCCACGGTGTAGTTTCATGTTGGTATTGCAGTAGTCTTTGTTATACTTCTGACCAACTTTGTTTGTATTGCACTAAACCATAGTCTTGGTGATGGAGAGATATGCTGTAGAAAATAGTGGAAGGGTTTCATCTCTTAGTTAAAATTGCTTCATCCAAAACCTTTCTGGTTGGATAAAAGAGTACCAGAGGTTTTAAACTGAAATCTCTTTTCCTTTTAGGACCTCCAAAACTCCTTCCTATTCCCCACATGAATGGAGGAAAAGAAAGAAGGGATTAAAGAGAGTCATGGTTGATGGTATAAATTGCTACAATAAATGGTTGCTTTAGTGAACTCTCATGCTTTCTTGTTCTTGGCACTCCATCTAATACTTGTCACTTTCCAGAAGAACTTCCATGTGGGTTAGATTTTGACATTCAAATACTATTGTTGAAACTTTGAAATGAGAAAAAGGGAGACTATTCCGAACTATTTTCGAGTATTATGTAGACTGGGCTTTCATGTATTATATGTATAAACAAACAGGAAACAAAGGAAGAAAAAACAGATTCTTATTTCCTAACTCTCTCATCTGATGTTTTCAGATTGTCAATCAACCATACGATACAGCAGGAATATTATATGGTTCACAAGCAGCAAGAGAATATACTCAAGGTGCACAACCTGAATGGTTACATATGCAGATTGGTGGAAGTTTTGAAAGAACATCTTAGACCTCTATAGGCATCTTATAATCAAATGTCAAGATTAATTTGGCTCCCTTATTTAGTTCATTAGATATATTCTATACGTTTGATCATTTGGTATCAAATACTTGTATTATCTGCAGAAACTGAACCTACTTCCAATTTGTGTCTTACTAACTAGTAATGTGTACTGCAGTTGTACTGGAGAGAACATACTAAGCTTCCCTTACTGCTCTTAAATTGAGTAACAGAAGAATTCTGGTTTCTTTAAATTCATACAGTTTCCATTTTTTTCACATTATTTTGCAGACTTTTTGTACACAACAAAAAATTGGGAAGTTCTGTTTAATCGTAACTATGATCAGTGCGGTTTGAGCATAGTTTCATACAAGACACAGACAGTCGAGAACTTTCTCTAAATAAAACAACAAGATATTTTATTTGCTGCCATGAATAAACTTGATGAATGAGCAAATAAATTAGATTATTTGATTATTTAACATCTGTTGTAATATCTTGACATTTCATGGAACAACAGAAAGAAGAGAGAGTATCAACAATAAATGAAGAATATAAAATATTATCACATGCCTTCCTTCTAGCAGTAGAGCTCATTCACTCACATAACAGGACTGTGAATGAGATTATTGTGCAAGTGCAAACATAATGACAAGGAAGAAAAGAACAGAACCAGAGAATGAAACTAAGCAAACTTGGACTTTATGGTGTTGATAACACCTTCATCGACTTGGAAAGCTTTGCTCAAAATTTCGACAGGGATCGAAGGATTCGAAGCAAACAAAGTTCGAGATGCAACCACAACCCCCGGTAACTGACTGTTGAAAGCTGTGAGCAGAGTTGCTTTGCTGCTTCCAACATTATACTGGAGATGAACAAGTCCTCTGGGAATGATAAACATCTGCCCTGCAGTCAAAACCTTGTAATGATACACACCATCTGTTGTCACAAACCCAACAAGAACTTTCCCCTTAATAATGACGCCGCTTTCAGAGGCACGAGGATGCGAGTGAGGTGCATTTACTCCTCCAGGAGCAAAGTCGACACGGTTCATGGATAGCCCGAGTGTATTGAGTCCTGGAAATGCGAGAACGTTTCCTTGTGTGGCCCCGAAACCGAAGGCATTATTTGTGTCAGGCTCTTTGATCAATCCATCAAAGAAGAAATCATCCGAAGTAACATCTGATACTGGCTTGCAAGGGAAACCATTGACTGATATGGTCGCATTTAAATCACGAACGCAGAAGTCCTGCAACGGATCGGGGTCAGCTGACAAACAAAGAGAAGGAAGAAGCAGCAATATAATGAAGCAACCAAGCATGTTCAAAGGTAAGCTTGTGAAAGCAATCATGGTGGCCAAGCAGTTTTGTCTGGTTAGCTCAAGCTTGCTAATGAAGGTGGTTTAAGAGCAGTACAGAGTCCTCTTAAATACTCCTCCTCCTGGATTAGCTGACATCTTCAACTCTTTTTCCTCAAGCAACATGTCAATGGAAAAATTATTATGATATAGACAAAACTAATCTGTCTGGGAGCCTCCTTAAGCTGACTTTACAAATAATAAAAGCTAAAAATCAAGATTATCAAAGTCTTAATCCAGAAAAATTGTGAAGGTTAGTTGGGTTTGGAGACATAAAGCCAAGTTTTCCATTTTTCTGGAGAAAGAAACTAAATTTTAAGGAAGTAGGTGGGGAGCTTTACGGATTGACCCAGTTAAATCCCAACTTTTTTACATCTCTTGTCCAAGTTTGTATTTTTTATTTAAGAAGAAAATCAAAATTTTTCCCTCCCCTTTTTGCTAATTCAACAGGCCAACCACTCATGACATGGTCATTCATTAGCTTGATAAGCAATTTCATTGGCAGAGGTCCCCAGAGGCCAGGTCAAGGTGATTAAATTCACATATATGTTACTATCAAGCTTGAAATTAAGCTGCCAATTGGTTCATGAATGAGAAAAATTAAATATTGTCATATGGGTTAAAAACTATATAAAATAATTATAACAAACTTATAAACAAACAATTCAAAGGATATGTTGTTAATTTGATATTGATTACACATTTAATCAGTCAATTTTGTGGCAATGGATCATCTTCGTTTTTATGCACCACCAAGAATTATACCAAGTTTAGTTACAAAGACACGCCAATCAAACATATTATAAATTTTATATATTAATGTACACATGATATTTAATCAACATTGTGTTCCTACGTAAAGAACTCTCCCTCTGTGACGAGTTCATCTAGAAATCCCTACAATTTTTAAAACATAATAAAATACAAGTCAACTTTATGAATTAATTACGAAGTAAACAATATTGAAAACAAAATTAAGTAAACAATAGTTTCTGAAAATCTGATTTAGAAAAAATAAAATTGATTAAGATTTAAAAACTGTTTTCTTAAAACGTAAAACCTTCCGAAAGCATATCAGCAAGAAGTTTACTATATATTTTTAAAAAAAAAAAGTTTTAAATTTTTTAAAAGGAGAATTTTATTTTTTAGCACAACATATAGGGTGGAGCATTGCTTCCTTTTTAGAAGTACAACAAAAACCATATTCGCGGTTAAATGAATACTAAAAATAACTATTTTCATGAAAATAATTCCTCAGACATATACCTGCAGAGAGTTATCGGGCTCACTCCGTCTAAAGTTGACAAGTTTCGATTTTATAACATATTTTTTAGTACAATAAATAAGAGGATGAGAAATTATACTTTCAACCTCTCAATATCGATATCAATTGATATTTCCAATTATAAAAATTAAAAAAAAAATTGTAATCGATATCAATTGATATTTCCAATTATAAAAATTAAAAAAAAATTGTAAGAAAATATTTAAATTAACGCATACGCATTTTGTCATTTCTACATAAGTTAAAAGTAATGAATATTAATATTATATATAAATTAGTGATATTTTGTTATATTTTTCATAATTTGTCGATTTTTATGTAATATTATGTAAATGTTTACTCTTCGAGTCGATGTCTTTGTATAACCCATTGATACATGAAAATGTCGATATAAATGTCAACATGTCTTTAATACCACAATGATAAGCAAATCCACGTTGGAAATTTAGGCTCGATTTTATAGGGTACATTTAGTAATGTTCTTGTTTCTCCTTTCTTATTTAAGAAACATTTTCAAAATTGTGTAAACAATTTGGAAACACAATCAAGAAATTTATTTTTTTGTTTCCATTTTCAATAAAAGTATTATTTTATCGTTATTAACTTATAAAATGCATGACAAACATTAAAATATATATATATAACGTAAACATTTTGAATATTTAATTTTAAAATATAATTAACACATAAAACTTTTACTTTTTCTTAATTTACAAGGGTAGAAAATAAGAAACAACAAAATGATCCCCAAACATATTTCCGTGTATTCTTTCAATAAAAATACATGAACAAAAAATGAAAAATAGTCACCGAACATAATTATAATTATATTTTTCTTTATTAAAAATAAGAGAAAAAGGAAACAAACAACAACGAATAACTCTTTTACCAGCAGACAGGAACATGGATAAGGACTGATAGGCCGACGCATTACTAACTAACTTTGAACTTTAAAGCTAAAGGAAACTTAAAGAACTTTTAAACATAAGCATCAAAGACCCCTTTGTCTACAAATGACCAACAACTCTTAAGAGCAAGTGCACCTTCATTTTCTGAACACCACCAACGCGTTTATTCCAGATGATGAAAGTATTTGCAGATGACCAGTTATTTGTTTGAAAACAACCAAAAAAAAGTCTTTTTATAGTCAATAATACATCATAGTTTCCTCGATGCTGCCTAAAGCATGCGTATACAAATCAACTAACTTACATGTCATTCAGAGTTATATCACAGTTGGAAGCTAGAGGAACCATAACTTCCTCGTGATGCCTTATCTGAAAAGCAGAGAGGGGAAAGGCGTACGCATAATGTAACAGCTTCGAGGATTCCGAGCTCCAGCTTGTCAAGGATTTCATCAAATAAGGCATCGTTCAGGATTGATTCTCTGAGTCTAATATCACACTCTTATTCTGCGAAGATACGACGAGTAGGAAGTAAGAAACCAGAGAAAAAATTGGAACAACTAGCGATCCTTAGACTTTTCGGATGAAAGAAATTACTTGTCCAGTCCAGCCGAGCTGGTGGGAATCTCACCAGATGGTGATACAAGAGCATCTACTGAAACGTCATTTGGAGTGAGTGGTATAACTCCTTCATCAATTATCTGCACTGAATAGGACAGTGCAACTGCAAAATCATGCCAACTGAGTTAAGTGAGGTCGCAGAGAACAACGTAAGCCAAAAAAAGAAACTAAGGCAAGGTTCTACTACAAGAGAGAGTTTAAACACATACCAAGGAGGGGCTGCTTCCAATTCCGCACTTTCGCAAGCTCTTGGTAGTTCTTTAGGAAAGTATCATAGTACCTATTTTCGAAACAATTATAGGGTAAGATTAGTTTGGAGTAGGACGTAGTAGGTTATACAGATTGTTTCAATTTCACAAATCAGCTCCAAATATGTTAGAAGTTCAGTAATAACAGTGGCAAAAAGAAACCTCAAAAAGGCTAAATGCAAATCCATACCCTCCTCCTCGGCCTAGGCGCCTTCCTGATTTATCAAATGCTAGACCTGGTAGCAATCATCAACATATTGATAAGTGATTTTATGTTGGCTTATAACTACAAATCAACTGGAACAATCAACAATTAGGTAATGAAAATCTCACCTGGTAAGAGGAATAAATCAATGGGGTCATTTGTCTGCATAACTGCAAAAGACGGATGTTTAAATATGAGCGTTGTTACATTCAAGATGCAGAGAGAGATTATGCTAAACCATTTCTTTTATTCGAAGATAGAAAAAGAAGAAGAGAAAAGAGATAATATGGTTAACGATAACATTTGGTAGATATCACCAAAAGAGTTCTGTTATAATATATGCAGTGCAGAAGCCGACTTATGGCTAAGCACTACCACCCTGAGGGGAAAATGACATAAAATTTCATGTTTTTCTATTGGCATGTGGATAACAGATAAGATGGTCATGGTACAGCCTAGTTCAATGGTCGAGGTATGCTGAACACCTTCCTTATTTGTGCTCTTCATTTCTATCATAAACAACTATGTTAGACCAATTATTTCTAAGCTTAAACAGCCGTGGTTTATATGATATCAGTAGAATGAGTCTTCCAGGAAAACTTAACAAGGCTATAAAAGGAGTTCAACAAAATAAGTTAAAGACTTCTGGGTTTCAAAAAACATTAGAAGAATGAAATAACAGTTCCATGACCCGTCTTTAAGCTCGAAGAAAATACAGAAAAGCACTAAAGACAAGTATTCAGAGGGCAATGATTCTATGGAATCTATCAAACATACAAATCGCGGATAGTTAAGTTTTGGCTCACAATGAATTTTTTTTTTCTTTTTTAAACAGGCTCACATTGGACATTAATAGATCTATTGACACCATCGAAGACAATAAAGAATAACCAGGCTTTTTGCTGGTGATAAACAGAAAATATTTCTGGTCCCAAGTGGTAAGAAGACAATGATCTGGAGTTATTTGCAAAGCCATCCAATTGCATTAGGGGAGACCAAACCAAAAAAGATAGTATATCAGTAATGTTCTTTCTTTAATGAAAAACTATTCCTTTTTAAGCATGAAAGAATATATATCAGTGATGTTATGAATATAAATGGTTATATTTTAAGAAGCTATCTCTATGCTAGTGCTATATAAGTCAAGTGCATATCACTTTCCCAATGCAATATAGAGTAGATTGTACATTAATCATAAAAATCACAAGCATGTTCTTTAAGCTGGGGACTGATAGAAAATGAAAGACGAGAGAGAGGGAGAGAGAGAGAGAGAGCGAAACGAGGGGTAGAGTGTCTAGTTACCATCTTCACGTTCATTTCCATCACCGTCCACTGGAGCTGGTTCTAAGATATTCATTGAGTTTGCAATAAGATCATCCATACGTGAAATATTGAACATCCGCATGTGACTGTTCTTGTCCTCCACACGTGGGACATAAATCTTCTTCGAATAACCATCTTCAGATAAAAAAAATTTTAAAAAAAAGGCAAAATGTCAACATTAACAAAGCTCAGCTAGAAGCATGACAGAATCAATAACTACCAGTTTCTTGTTCAAAAGAGAAAATAGAAGTTGCTAGCATCACAAGTAACAACACTTCCACATATGTATTCTGCATCCGGAACCAATACATCAATCAATCACTCGTATTTTATCACATTAATTAGTTAAATTTAACTAAAGAACTTCACTGAAATACTTATCATGTGTGTATTTCTTATTCAATGTAAACTTTTAAACATAAAATCTTTTGTTGAGTCTTACTAATTTGATTGCGTCAAGTTTCCCAATGGATCCCTTGGAATTTCAGATATCTTATATGTAATAAGTGCTAATAAGAACACACCTTTTGGTTGGTGTTGCAGAATCTCTGATAACAGTCTCGACGTATCAACTTCTCTCAAGGCACTGCAACTAACATAAGCACACAATCTCTGACTAGATTTAAACCACGGAGCTTCCAAAATAATATTCTGAATCGCATTGTCTAAGAAACAAGTAGAAAGGCCAATGAAAGAGGGGAAACATTGATTCAGAATCATATCAAAACGATGTTACTCGAACTGACATTTCCATCGGAGCAAAGTTAATGGACGAAGATAAGCAAGCAATTGGTACCTTCCTGGGATCTGAGGGAGGGATCCATGGCTCTGAGGGCTTTTCGAACGCTGGATCGAAGGGTCCGTTTCTGCTCGAATATGGCCTTCAATTGATCTTCATTTTCTGGTTTGCTGCTCTCGTTACTCGCCATTTTCGGGGACCCAGAGGAGCGAGACGAGAATTGATGAAGTGGTTGTTGAGTGAACAGTGAATTGGCTGCAATGGGCATTCGTAGTTTATAGTTTCGGAGCATTGGGGCTTCGGAAATCGGCAACCTTGTGGCGCTTGGGCTCCGACCCACGTGCACTTCGGCTGGACTTCGCTGGTTCCTTGATCTACTGGCAGTGGTCGAATATTGAAATCCATGAACCCGTGAATTTGTATCCTTTCCTTGGATGAGCCGATATTTTATCATCAAATCCAAATTGTCTCAAACAAATCAACACAGAACGTGCTTCCAACGCCACGAGTTGGACCCTTCAGTTCCAAAATCACAGAGATTGCAAAATTTTGAATTTTGTACTGATTGCTGAATAAATGTTAAATAAACATTTTCTTTTATTTTCTTTTCTTTTAAGTAGAATGTTAAATAAACCTTGTTTTATGTCAACAAAAATAAAAATAAACCTTGTTAGTCGTGCGTGTACCCCCATGGATGGGAGGTTTTTTTAAAATTAACAAACTCTAAACATTTTCCTTAACAAATTAACAAACTTTCATTAAAATAAGGCATAGACAACCATTTGGTTACATTTAGATTTCATTTTCTTCCATAACTGTATTAATCAGATACGTAGAAGATTACATAGGATATTAGCAAATAGCTATTTTAATTTAAGTAAATTAAATATCTTCAAAAGATCATGTCAAACACCCAATACCCTCGAGCTAAATTCCACGCATACCTTAAACATTTTCCTTTCTTTTTCTGTAAGTAGCAACCTTCACCAAAATAAAAATATCTCGAAAATGTTACGTGAACACCACGGTTGATTTCCATGCATTACCTTGATTAATATATATATATATAGAGAGAGAGGTTTGTCAACTTGAGGTGAGTGGTGCAGACACTCTTTTAAAGATATTGAAAAAACAAAATAACAATAATAATTAAACATCGAAAGAGATACAACCACCTGGACTACATGTAGAATACTGTCTTCCTCGTAACTATTTTGATCAATCATCGTTGAAGATTCATAAATTAAAAACAAAAAGAGTAATTATAAGTGATTGAGCCACGTGAAAGATTCGTAAATTAAAAACTGAAAGATTAACTACAAGTTATTAGGAGTCGTACTTTAATTTAAGTAAATAAAATGTATTCAAAAGATTCTGCCAAATGCCTAAATTCTTTTGAGGATTATATCAAATACCTAATTTTATTATAAAAAAACCTAATTTAATCACAACAAATTTCACTTTATTTCCCGTAATTTCACTCATGACTTTTAACTATACCTGATAAGTTGTTTTAAGCTGTGTTTGAGCTATACTTTTCATTTTCAAATAAAAAAATAAAATTTATTTTCCAGCCTATTTCTTTATTAGTCAGATTGTATAAACTTTAATTTATTTTGTACAGGTTGCTAAGTAAATGTTAAATAAACATTTTGTTTTCTTTGTATTTAAACTTTAAACTTATTATATTTAAACTTTAAACTTTAAAGTTTAAAAGTATATAATATTTAAACTTTTCCAATGACCTATTATATTTAAATTTTTTGCCACAATTTAGACATCTAGTACTAGACTTAAAGTCTTAAAAAAACTATGGAAAAAAGATAGAAACTACAGAAGATAATTATCATTCATCGTTTTAATTTCTTTTTGCAGATAATCATTCATAAATGTTAGCTGTTAAAGAAACTTTTCTTTTCTTTTTTTAATAATATAATATTAAATACATTGTTAAAGTTGTACCTTTGTCAAAATAAAAATAAAATACAAAAATAATATTTTTCCTTTAGCTTTGATTTATAAATCAACACACATTGCTTTATTTGATAGGTGAGACATATATATATACCAATTTGAGGAGGGAAAAAAAACTAACAAACTTTCATTCGAATAAGAGAGATATAGCAAATTGGATTACATGCAGATCACTGTCTTCCATAACTATATTGATTAGCGACGTGAACAATTCATAAATAAAAAAATATGAAAGAGTAAACTGTATATATCATATCATAATAGCTAGCCTTACTTTTCTTAGCTAAAATATTACTAATAAATAAATGAACTTTATTAAAATATTCTACCAATATTTAATATCCTCAAGTTTAAATTCCTAATTTGAAAAATTTTATTACTTGAACGGTATTTAATTCCATATACAATGCTTAAATATTCATTCTATTATTATCATTATTTTATTTATTTTTCTTTTTTGGGAGAGCAGAGAATATTCATCCTATTATTAATGAGCAATTTGAAGATGGATTTGCGTAGGAAATAAAACTGAAACTAAACAACAAACATATGCAATCATAGTAAATGAGAATAGTGTGCATAGGCATAGGATTTTCGAATCATAATATTGATTGGATGAGTTTAAGTATAATTTTTTTTTCTCTGAGAGAAATTTCATCTCCGCTATCTCAAAAAAAAAATACAAGGCTATAAATAAGATATAGAAGCTTCACATATAGGCTGATCTTAGCTTAATCACCCGCGTCCTTAATTTTTTAAAAAGTCCCCCTCCTACATCATGAGACTTGTATATAGCTTAGAGTAGTACTTGTTATATTTTTAGACTTTGTCCTTAATCATAAAATTTCATTATCCTTTGTCTTCACTCGAGTTGAATGGGTTCCAAGGGAATTATATTTGTTTTTTTATAACTTTCACGCTTTTAACCTAATTAACCAACTACGTCCCCTTTATACCCAATCATTTGAGATACAAGATTATTCTTTCTTTCATCGAAAGATGAAAGAGAGGCAAAAAGATGTTGCAGTTCCTAATCTTATAATAAGTTAACTATATAAATGTATCTACGTATATAGTTACGTAAATTGATTAACTAATATATTCATAAACATCCAAAATACTACCTCTTAATTGTTACTTACCCAATTAATTGATTATTATATTATAATATATTACCACACTTTAATTAACAATAAAATATAATATCCTCGTACTCAAATTCAGTACTTGGATTGGAAGGTAGACGTCCCCACATTTATAAGTTGTATTATTTGAAAGGTATCTAATCTCACACATACTTAAACATTACTTGTGGTCGACCCAAGCTTGAAAACTTCAATCTCACTTATGTTTGTGTTTTGGTTATGTTTCTGGTTTCAAAAAAAAAAAAATATATATATATATATATATATATATATATATATAACAAAATACATTTTATAGGGCATATATTTTTTATTACCGGCTATTAAAATAGACAAATATAAAAGTAAATCATATCTTGAAAATAATATGTGAAAGTGAAACCACTATTGAATTTCATTGAATATTTTTTTGTATATTTTTTTTTCCTTTTTTTTTCTAACCAATCTCAACTTAGGTGGTCAAAGGCAGACAAAACAGACAAAAACAAATTACAATAAAAACAAACTTTAAAATAAAGAAGATACAACCACCTGGATCACATGCAGTTACTGTCTTCTGTACTAATCAGCCACGTGAAAGCCTATAATTATGGAAAATAGGAAAGGTATAAATTGTGATAGCAAATTATTTAAGAATAGCAATTTTATTATCAATGAGAAATTTGAAAATTAGTTTATGAATGAAAGAAAGCTAAAACAAAACAATAAATATATATAATGAGATATATGAACTATAATGCAAAACATACTATAGATAATCTTTTTTTTTATTATTATAATGATAATTTCAAATTACATATCTCATACTTAATGTAAGTAGATGATAAATGATATGCTATAGCAACATATCATTTTATGAATAATGAGGTACTATAGAATTAATTATAGTATTTCACACAAATTCTTCCATCAATAATGAATCACTATATACTCAACCAATTACATTATCGCAATATAATAATAAATACCAATTACATTATCACAATATAATAATAAATAAAAACAAATGAATTTTTCACAAATCCATTAATCAAATCTACCAACACATTCTATTACACGATCATATAATTGTTAAATATATATATTTTATTTGTCATTAACAGAACAAATATGAGAAGAGTATTTGAACCTCGCATCTAAAAAAAATGCATCAACTATGGAGCCATGCCAATATTTACAATTTATATTTAAATTCCGAAACTACCTACCTCGTAAATTTTGTATTTTTGCCATAATTTAAACGTCTAATATTCAAAATTAAAAGACTATGGAAAATACAACAGTGATAGAAACTATAGAAAATAATTATCATTCATCAAGCAAGCAGCACTATATAATATAAATATAATTATTTGTGAGATTATAATTGGAGTGCGTTTGGGAGGAAAAAAGAGAAGGAAAAATTTCTCCCTTTTCAAGAAAAGAAAAAAGAAAAAGAAAAAGAAAAAGAAAAAAGAGTTTTTTCTTTGGGTTCAAAAATTAAAACTGCACAGTAAATAAGTTGAAAGGGGAAATTTTGATACGAAGAGATTTCAATATCAAAGTCGGAGGCGGTGGGTCCGGACGCACGAACTCATCCAGTCAGATGCCACGTGGCTGAGATCGGCTACGGAATTCGTTTGGTGGAGGCGTTGACGAAAGTCAAAGGGGCAGATCA